ACCACACGTTCTGCCTGCCACTGGCCCAGTGTCCACAGCCTCCCTGGAGAGGTTAGCTCTCAGCCTCACTGGTTAAGCAATTGGTTAGTTAGCTCAAAGACTTATCAGGATGTGAATGTATACTGAGACCAGACGTGAGGCAGTGGATGAAGGTTTGGTAAGAAGGAAAACCCTGACCTCTTATTCTAATAAGCTGCTTTGTCAACATTTCTAAGCCTTCCTCTCCCTCTCTCTCCCACAGGACATCCTCCATGCTCCACCTTGACATTTTCAACAACTTCTCTGTTGGATATGGGATTGCTCCAAAGTACATATACATGAACAAATACAAGGAAGGACAGTGTCTGTGTGGGTGGGGATGGGGGCACAGGAGGGCTTCTGACTCTCAATCAGAAGTGGTGGGACAGGAAGACATCTAGCTCGAGCCGTGCTGTAATCCCCTGGTTCTGTCTCAAGGGTAACAAGTAGACTGGACAGGTGGCCACTGATGAGAGAGTGAGGCCCTCCATTGATCAAGAGACGCTATCACCAACACTCTCCTTCCAACCCAGAATGTAATATCCCCAATAAAGGGCAAAAGAGAGAGAAGCCACAGAGAACAGGGAAAGCACAGCTGTTGAACAGTGTGGGAAGGAGGTAAAAAAGATTTTTGGTGTCCTAGAAATGGAAAGTAATCAAACCAATAGGCAGCCAAGGTTAAATACAGTATCACGAATAGAAGTGTAAAGAATGTTGCTTACAAGTCTACTTTGCAGTCGGACAGTGTGAATTCAAGTTCTTGCCACTTACTAGATGCAGAACTTGAGCAAGTAGGCTCACCCTCTCTCTCTCTCTGTGACTCAGTTTCCTCCTCTATGCCAGGCACTGGTGGCTCACACCTGTAATCCTAGCTACTCAGGAAGCAGAGTTCAGGAGGATTGCAGTTTGAAGCCAGCTCAGGCAAATAGTTTGTGAGACCGCATCTTGAAAAAAAACTCATCACAAAAAAGGGCTTGTGGAGTGGCTCAAGGTGGAGGCCCTGAGTTCAAGCCCCAATACTAAAAAACTATGAAAAAAGAAAAGTGTTCTACAGATGTTTATTTTATTAATGAAGGCACTGAGACCAGGACTATCTGGTAAAAGACTGGAATGAAGCTGGAAGGAAGTTTTTTTCAACATCTCTGGCTTTGGAATAAGGTAAAGACTTATCAGAAGGTTCAGAGACCAGAAACTCCATGCCCAATGGGTACCTGGGGAAAGGAGCTGCTCAGAGCCTCTCAAGAAGTCTGGTCCCTCCAGATAATAGTCTATCTAGCCTCTTCAATGCACGGCCATCACTAGGGAAACTATAAAAAAAAAGGAATATTGAGATGTTCCCTTAGAACACCTTGGCCCCAAAGTGATGGGGCTATGCCTCCCCACACACACAGCCCAAGCCTTTCCACCCAAAGCTGTGTGTATCAGAAAAGGCACCTGCTTAGGGATCAAATCAGGGTTGGAATTCTAGTTCATCCTCTTCCTAGCATTCAGATGACAAAGTACTACCAAAAGGGCACCACCACTCCATAGGCAAATACTGCTTCTGCCACAGGTCCAGCAGCTGGGTGCTCTAATATACAGAGGCACCACAGTTGGGCGAGCCCAAAGTCCAGACTGTCCATGGAAACGGGGAGGTTCCGTAGCCGGAATGCCCCAGGCGACTCCCCTGCCCCCCCCCAGCACTACCCCCAAGGACAATGAGGCACTGTTTTCCAAAGGGTCAAGACTGCTGAGAAGCTGAAAGATGACAGGTCCAGATTCCAGCAGTAACTGGGCATTGCCAACAGCTGGCTGTGCCCCCTGCTAGTGTATGGGAAGGCAAAGCTATCAAGCTGTGAATTGGTCCCACCCTTTGCCACACAGGCCATTGCCTGGGTACAGCCCCCAGAGCAGAGCAGAAATTTTAAAGGTAACTATCAATTACTCAGCAGGCCTTGTGGCTCTTCCCCTGGTTAGTCACCAGCACCTACTGTCCTATGATTAAGAAAGACAAGGTCTGGAATTGGATCATTCTGGGTTCAAACCCCAGCTATACCAATGAATGTACCTCAAGCTCAAGTTTCTGCATCTGCGAAACAGAAATAAAACCCCTCCCTCCTGGATGGTTGTCATAATACTCAAAAATCTGAATCTCGTGCCCGTCTCCAATTGAGCAAGCATGATCACTGTTAGACCACACTTGTGGTCAAAGCCCCTGACACCCTTACACCCCAAATACATTAGGAACATGAACCAGCGGAGAGGGGAAGAGTCCAGGCACAAAGCGTAATCAGAGCGCATCTCAATGTTATGGGAACTCTGTCCAGGAAACTCCAGCCAGAACTCAAACAGAGTGAACTCCTGGCCAAACCAGCATCTAAACAGTAATGAGAAAAGCCACCAAGCAGCCACCCGGCAGCACAAAGCAGAGGGAACACATAGAGAAGGGCAGGACACGCTGTGTTTATGTTTTTCTGCTCAGAGAGCTATAAATTTGTAACTTATTAAACAGCACATGGTGATTCCATCACTGGCCAGTGTGTGGAGGGGAAGAGCCCTACAGATTTTTTTTTTTTTTTTAGGATTAAAAAAAAAGTCATAAGAGAGATTCTGATCCCCTGGGCCTTGCCAGACTACCATAAACTCTTCCATGTTAGGGACTAAGAAGCACACAGCTAAAAGCACTCTCAGAAGAAAAATAAAAGCAAGAGGGCTAGCTTTGTGTGCACCCTAACTTAGGAAAACAGCTGATGGGTGGTGTGCTGAGCAGCCACCCAGACAGCTGACAGGGCCTAGCCTCAGAGGCAAATTCCTCTCCCCTCCTGCACACACCATTCCTCCCACCCTAGGCTCTGGTCAGCCAGGCGTGGCTGGCCCCCTGGGAGCTCAGATCAAGGAAGTCAGGCAACCCAGATCAAACAACTGGAAAGCCAATGGTGGAAGGGAGCGGAAGTCGCAAGTAGCAGCCATCACCTGCTGCCACCCTTCCCTTCCATCACCTGCTCATCCCCTTCACAGGAAGAAATACTTCTCACTACACAAGAGCTGCATGTCAAGGAGCTAGGGACTGGGCTTGCAGTCATGGATTTGTCATTTAGTGTCTGGGTAGCCTGGGAGGCGAGAATCAGCCTCTCTTAGTCTCAATTTCTCAATTTGATGGCAATGGCCTTAGAAAGATCTTACAAAAGGATTGTTGTGAGAATGGGACAAATCCAGACAGGGGGAAGTACAGCAAATTTCAATTCCTACAATCTCCTCGTCCAGTACACTCTCTTTCCTTTCAGAGGCTAACTCAGTTTCCTGGCCCTAAATGGAAGACCGTCAGAAGACAGGAATTCCAGACTTTGTGAACTCTACAAAGACTTTCTCAGTCCTTCAAACAGCACGAGGACTGTCCAGAAGCAACAGAGCCACACCAGCACATCAGAAACTGAAATCTGTTCCCTAGTTCCCACTGGGGAAGCAAAGAGACTTTCATATCCTGATTCAACGCACATCCCCCAGTCTCCTTTCAGCTTAGTTATTTTTATGTGAAGAAAAAAATAAATACCTGCCTGGAAGCTATGCCAACCCTGAGTACGTTGGAAAAATAGATGCCAAGCCTGACCCAAAGGCAGAACTATGCTTGGCAGCCACTGCACTCTGCAAAACAAGTAGGACCCTACACCACCCCCAATTCCAGGATCTCTCCGGGGCTCTTTCATCCCACAAGGAAGCTGCAGAGAAGCACTGAAGTCCAAGGCCAGCCTTAAGTAGTGCCCTGTGCTATTTGGGAGAGGCTCCTCAGTCCTTTCTGGTGATTCTGCTTCTCAGCGCCTGGGATAGAGGAGGCATCAGTGGTCACACACCCACAGTCCAAAGAAGGAAGACAAGGCTCCTACAGAGAAGAAATTTTCCCCCCTCCTCACCTCCCTAGCTCAGGAGCATGAAGGGGAGGGAGAGGCAGGGAATCCTCTACTTTGAGATTCACAGCGCTCAGGGCATTCCTAGAACCCTGGCACCAACTTCCTTGGGTTTAGAGTCTGCTTCCAGGTGATTCTTTCCCCTCTCCTAATACCAGATGGAGACTAGACTGAAAAGAGCAGCCTCAGGGCTCCAATAACATGAAGACAGTAAAACTCTGTTATGGGCATCCTGTTCTCTTTACCTGTGTGGCTTCCAGCTCAGCCTGAAACTTGGGGGTGGGGGAACCTGCCAGCCAGGACACGTTCAGAGACCGCCATACCTTGAGGCCCACTTCCCACCTCATTCCTCTGGCATTTCACCAGGGGCTGGTGAACTTCTAGGTTTAGATATGAAGGGGGAGCAGCTGTTCAGTGAATGGAAAGCTGGTCCAGAAAGGGTAACGGAGTAGCCAGTCCATGAAACAGGGTGACCAGACCTGAAGGGGGGTGGGGTGTTAATGAAGTAAACTAGGAAACTTGTCATTGAAAATGGGGGGTGTGGTCATAGCAAGTTCATCTCTAGCTTGTGAAATGAAAGGGGTGTGATCGGAAGGGCTATTCCCCGAAGTGGGGGTGCCAGTAGGCTAAGTGGGGGGGCGGCTCTCCAGGGGGTCGCGGAGATAAGCAACCATGAGACTAAGCAGCTGCTCTCAGAGTCGGGCAGCTCATCTGTGATGTGGGGGTGGGGAGCGGTCTGTGAAGCGAGGGTCCCGCAGCCGAGGGAATGGCGTGGTCCATGGAGTCCTGCACCTGAGGGGGCTTGGGGTGGGTAGGTGAGGACGAGCTGGTCCCCGGGCCAGATCTGGGAGATGGGTTGCCGAGGTTGGGGGTCCCTAAGTGAGGCCGCCCTCCCGCTGTGGGGCGGCAGCGGAGCTGGCCTGGCCCAGAACTCAGGCCCCGCGCGGGATCCCGGCCCACTAAGCCCGGACGGGCAAGGACAGGAACCCGGGCCGGGCCGCCAGGGGTGGGAATCCCGCGGCCCCCGCCGCTCGCTCGCGCCCGCCCGGCCCGGGGCCGCGCACTCCTCGCCGCCTCTCCTTCAGCCTCCGGCTTACTCACCGAGGTCGTCCATGGTGGAGCCGCTGGCGTTGGGACCGGCTCGGCGTAGCGCTTGCTGCCTGTCCCGGGGCCGTTCCTCTCAGCCCCGCAACTTTTCCTCCGCCAGCCTCGGCCCGGAACGGAACGCTCCGCCGCCGCGCGTGCCCGCGCTCGCTGACCCCGCCCCCTGGCGCGTCCGCGGCATGCTGGCCCCGCCCCGTGCGCGCTCTGGCTCCGCCCCGCTGCCGACCCCGAGCGCGCCCGGCCTGGCTGGGGGGGACCCTGGGCGTGGCGGCGGCGCCCCCTGGCGGCCGAGCGGGCTGGTGGAGGCTCCCAGGCCTGCAGCCCTTCCTGTCAGTCTCTTGTCTCAAAGTCACTTGCCTGACCTTCAGGCAGACAGATGTATCTGTCCATTCATCAGTCACTCGGTCATCACATGCTTTCCTGTCCACTGGAAAGTTGGATTTGTCCACCTGTCCTTCTGTCTGTCTTCCTAGGTTACCTCCTAGGAAGCCTAAATCTGTACCAGGCAAGGCCAGGAGCCTTTCTTTGGAGGACATTTCCTGGGGTCACCCTCTGGATTAATGGCTGTGCAGGTCACAGGCCAGACTTTCCATCCTAGATACAGTAATTTTTTTTTTCTCCCCCCAGCCTTGGCTTTTTTTTTTTTTTTTTTTTAGTCAGGGTGTCATGTAGCACAGGATAATCCTCCTGTCTCAGCCTCCCAGAGTGCTGGGATTACAGGCGTGAAACACCACATCCAGCTCCAGCCCCAACACTTTTTTTTTTCCAGTACTGGGGTTTGAACTCAGGGCCTTCACCTTGAGCCACTCCACCAGCCCTATTTTTGTGAAGGATTTTTCAAGATAGGGTCTCGGCAACTATTTGCCTGGGCTGGCTTCGAACTGTGATCCTCCTGATCTCTGCTTCCTGATAGTCGGGATTACAGGCATGAGCCACCAGTGCCCAGCCAGGCCCCAGTATTTTTGAGGTGATGTACCCTTTAATCTTCACATGTCTACCCTCCCTAGAGACTTTGTCAAAATTCTGCATGGGGCAGAAAGGACCCCATATTAGACAAAAAGGGAAAACTACAGGAAAGTCATACTCAATTCCAGGTACAGCTTCCTGAGGAGCTCTGCTCATACACTCAGAAAATGATGGATGATAGTAACAGTTGCCATTTACTGAGTGCCTGAATAGACAGATACTATATAGCTATTATCTAACTTAATTTTCATTGATAATAACTTTATCACCAAACCTCCCCAACTATGAGTGATGGTAGTTTGTCAATTTTATATAAAAATGTTCTGCACACACAGCTTCAAGTTTTCTTTGTCCCTCAAGAATTCAGCTACTGGACTGGAATTGTGGTTCAAGTGGTAGAGCACCTGCTTTGCAAGCTTGAGGCCCTGAGTTCAAACCCCAGTTCCACCAAAAAAAAAAAAAGTACATGAAGAATTCAGCTACCAAGAGCTGGTGGAGTGGCTCAAGTGGTAGAGTGACTGCCTAGCAAGCATAAGGCCCCAAGTTCAGGCCCTCATAAGGCCTTGACACAAGTTCCTCTGTGTCAAGTTACATCTTCCAGGAAGCAGATGATGAGATAAAGTTAGGGGTAATGCCTGTGAAAGAAAGGGGAAATAAGTAAGACTGGGCAAGGAGAGACTCAGATTTGACAAAAACAGGCTAACCCAACAGGAAACTATGAAAAATGAGGCAGACCCATTGCACAGGAGTGTCCAGCACCATGGGGTTGCCTGGAAAGATGTGGCCTTGTCTGAACCTTGAAACTGTGTGTGTATGTGTGTGTGTGTGTGTGTGTGTGTGCGTGTGTGTGCGTGCTTTGCTGGAATTGGAACCCAGGCCTTGCCATGCTAGGAAAGTGCTCTACCACTGAGTCACACCCCCAGCCCCAATAAGTACTCTAAGCTCAGCACTAAATACAGAATTCAAGCCACATATGCAATTTAAAATGTTCTAATGGCCATGTGTTTTTTGTTTTTTGTTTTCTAAAAGTAAAAAGAGCCAGGCAACAGTGATTCGGGCCTATAATCCTAGCTATTTGGGAGACTGAGATTGCAAGGATCATGGTTCAAGTTCAGCCTGGGCAAATACTTCACAAGACCTCATCTCCAAAATAAACAAAGCAAAATAGACTAGAGGTGTGGCATAAGAGGTAGAGTGTCTGTTTTGCAAGTGCGAAGTCCTGGGTTCAAACCCCAGTTCCACCAAGAAAAAAAAGTGAAAAGAAACAGATATTATTGTTTTGTTGTTGTTGTTGTTTTCTGTGCTGGGATTTGAACTCAGGGCCTACACCTTGATCCACTCCACCAGCCCTTTTTTGTGATGGGTTTTCTTGAGATAGGGTCTCAAGAACTATCTGCCCAGTCTGGCTTTGAACCTCAATCCTCCTGATCTCTGGTTCTCAAGTAGCTAGAATTATAGATGTCAGCCACCTGTGCCCAGCTTTAATGGTCTTTAAAAACACCATTTCTGGGGTGGTGGAGGGTGGAGTGACCCAGGTGGTAGAACACCTAGCTAGCAAGTGTGAGGCCCTGAGTTCAAACCCAAGTACCACAAAAAAACAAACAAACAATAATTTCCTTGGGTAAAATAGCATTATGTCATATTCCTGTACCAGCATTTACTTAGCCAGTCCCGTGGTTAGATGTAATTATTTCCATGTTTTCACTATAATTAGCAATGCTGAGGAGAACATCCTTGTAGCTAAATCTTGGAGCACACCCTTAATTATTTCTGAAGATTATCAATTCCTATATATGGAAGTGCTATGCCAGAGTGCTCAGTGCATTGCTGGTCCTTTTGCTGGATGCTGACAAATTGCCATCCCTAACAGTAATATCTAGATAAACATGCAATAGATAGTTCATGAGTACCAACTTGGCATATCACACTGTAGGGTGACCCCATGCAGAAATCCCCGAATGTGGCCTGAGAGACCACACATGCTTGGTGGAATGAGAGAGGTATAAGTGATATGTGAACAAATTCCTTATTTTATTTTTTAATTTTTACTTTATTCATATGTGCTTACAATGTTTGGGTCATTTCTTCCCCCTTCCCCCACCCCCTCCCTTACCCCCCTCCCTCTCCCCGCCTACCCCTTCGCTACCCAGCAGAAACTATTTTGCCCTTATCTCTAGTTTTGTTGAAGAGAGAGTATAAGCAATAATAGGAAGGACCAAGGGTTTTTGCTGGTTGAGATAAGGATAGCTATACGGGGCATTGACTCACATTGATTTCCTGTGCGTGTGTGTTACCTTCTAGGTTAATTCTTCTTGATCTAACCTTTTCTCTAGTTCCTGGTCCCCTTTTCCTATTGGCCTCTGTCACTTTAAAGTATCTGCTTTAGTTTTCCTGCGTTGAGGGCAACAAATGCTAGCTAGTTTTTTAGGTGTCTTACCTATCCTCACCCCTCCCTTGTGTGCTCTCGCTTTTATCATGTGATCAAAGTCCAATCCCCTTGTTGTGTTTGCCCTTGATCTAAGGTCCGCGTATGAGGGAGAACATACAATTTTAAATTTCTTAATAGTTAAGCATTTATGTCTATTAGAAAAATGCCTAATTAGCCAGCAAATCTATGATTATTTCAATTTTATTATTTAGGATAATGCTAAGTAAAAACAAAAGTGGAAGCCAGGCACTAGCTGCTCATGCCTGTAATCCCAGCTACTCAGGAGGCAGAGATCAGGAGGATCAAGGTTTGAAGCTGCCTCAGGCAAATTGTTTGCAAGACCCTATCTCAAGAAAAGGAGTTGGTGGAGTGGTTCAAATGATAGAGCAACTGCCTAGCAAGCATAAGACCCTGAGTTCCAATCCTCACTACTGCCAAAAAATAAAAAATAAAGTGGTTCACTTAAAGAAAAGGACTTAGTAAGTACTAGCATAGTTGGTTCTCAGTAACTGCAAACTTATTTGCATTTTCTTTTCTTTCTTTTTTTTTTTTTTTTTTTGGCAATACTGGGGTTTGAACTCAGGGCCTCCACCTTGAGCTGTTTTTTTGAGATAGAGTCTTGTGAACTATTTGCCCAGGCTGGCTTCAAACCTCAATCCTCCTGATCTCTGCCTCCTGAGTAGCTGCAATGATAGATGTGAGCCTTCTGCACTCAGAAATTTTCTTTTCTTCCTTTTTTTTTTTTTTCTTTTGGTCCTGGGAACCCAGCTAACACATGCTCTACCACTAAGCTACATACACCCTCAGTCTTAGTTTGCATTTTCTGGAATGGATGTATAGATGTGGATTCATACAGAATGCACTGTTTGAGGGATGGGGGAGAAGTATGACTTTTTTGGGTCAGCACAACGTTTGTGAGATTCAATCACATTGTGTATACATCACTAACTTTGCTCCTTTTTATTGCTGAGTAGCGCTCCCTTGTATGAATGTGCCCTTATCCTGTTGGTGGGCGTAGGGGTTATTCTTCCAGTTTGGGCCCGCTAGGAATAAAGTTACTATGAACATTTGAGCAGAAGTCTTTATGTGGACATATGGTTTCATTTCTCTTGGATAAATACCGAGGGGTGGAACAAATGGGTTGCAAAGTAATGTTTAAAAAATGTAAATTAAGTCTCATCGGTCCCCTGCTTAACTATCCCAGGGGTTTGTTGTTGCATTTGGAGCAAAATCCAAACTGTTTACAGGGTCTCCAAGGCTGCACCTCAAATCTGGTCTTTTTCCAGCCTCCTCTGGCCTCATGCTGTTCACTGTCCCTCAAGCTTGAAAAGATATCTCTGAAGGGCTGGCGGAGTGACAAATGGTACAGCATCTGCCTAGCAAGCATGAGGCCCTGAGTTCAAACCTCAGTGTTGGAAAAAAAAAAATTGAAAGGCTAGCTCTGACTTCAGGGTCTTCAAAACTTTGAACCTTCTCTTAAAAGAATGTTCTTCACAAATCTTGACATGCTGTTCACATATCATCTCTGTGTGTCCTGGACATTTTATCTAAGGTCTCTCCATCCCCCATTAGACTCTATCTCTTTATTCTGGTTTATTTATTTTACTTTCATCTTCTGGCATTATGTTCTGTATTTGTTTGCCTGTTTATTATTCTGTCTCTCTCTTCCCCATTAAAATGCCAGGGCTCTGAGAACAGGGATGATGTCTGTCTTGCTGTTGTGTGCCTTGTTCAGCTGAGGGGGTTCAGGAAATAGTCTTT